TGATCGTTGAAGAAGAAAGAAAGAAAGAGAGAGATAGAGAGATAGAGAGGGTTAGACTGGCAAAGCGGACAGAGAGAGAGAGAGCGCGCGCGAGAGAGAGGGAGAAGCAGCCCGAGGGATGACGATAGGTGTTAGGTCCTTGCCGGTTACCCCTCCCCTTTTAATGGCAACTGATGGCAACTTCATCCACAATACAACCAACCGCTTGCACAGACGTCTATGCAAGCGGTCTCTCGGTCTGTCCTACCCGGGGCCCCAAACACACCTTCACCGGCGCCCACCAGCATCACACCTACCGGCCGACCGGCCAGTCGTCAGCAGTCCTCACACTCGTGCACCGGCCGGTGGCTATGCGTTGTCACTCGGAGTACCGTCCTCCAGTCGCCAGCAACCATTCGTCGTCGTCACCGCCGCCGCCGCCGTTGCCGACGACGCTTGCCCACACCCTCTTCTCCACCTCCGCCAGCCTCCGCTAGCTCGGCCATCCTCAGCAAGGCTGTCCACACGTCACAGCAAAAGCATACTCACACACACTCACACACACACATACAACACATACATACATATATATTGAGATAGCCATAAACGTCGACCTGTTGGGCGTCTCTGGGTGATCCTACTCCTCGTCGAGTTGTGTGCTTGCATGTTTGTGTGTCGGGCGTGGGGCAAAGAGATCGCCTGACAAGTTGCGCGGGCGGTCTGGCTTGTGTAGAGACGGGCCGACCGGCGGCCAGCCTGATTGCGCAACAGACACACTCGCAGCGCAGACCGGCCGTCTGATGCCGGTGCCGGCTCGTCGAAATGTCCTACTCAGGCCCCAGTCGCGACTCGTCTCTGTCACAGTCGTCATGCGGCTCGGTTGCCCCAGCCACGACAGTGTCCGGCTTGGCCAGATCGGCGTCTAAACGGAGCGCAGCTGCGCGCGTCTCGATGGCGTCGCGTCGCCTCGTCGCCGACGAAGCGGCCCACGAGACCGCCGGCCCGATGGAGGTCGAGGCGTGCGCCGATTGGTCGGTTCTTGCCGACCGCCACGGCAAGTCCGAGGCGTCTGGTTGGCCGGTGTCCGGCGCACGCGCCGCGGCCCACTCGACGCTCGTCAATGCGCCCGCCTCGGCCTCGCTCTCGGCCTCACCTTCGCGCTCAGGCTCGCCTTCGCCCTCGCCCTCGCCGTCGCCTTTGCCCTCGCTTTTGCCGCAACCCATTCCCACGTCGGCAGCCTCGGCGGCTGTCGTCGCGGCGGCGGCAGTAGCGGCCGCCGCCGCCGCCG